CCAGTCAAGACTGGAATGAAGGCTCTTGAGGTGAAGGGGTGGAGCAAGAGGAAAATATGTCTAATTAAGAATGAACACCGTATAGGTTCACTGTTAGCATAATTGAAGGGCCAACAACACGCATTTTGGTTGCTTATATCACAACCATGCAATTATGCTAATATATGGTAATGTCATTGCCCTTGAAAAAATTGTTTTCCTGTGTTAATTTAGGAAAAAGATCAATTATGAAGTCATATGGTTTGGTCTTGCTGGTGGTGATCTCGTCCTGTTGCTGAGCAACAGAAGAAGGATTTATTCCTGTGTACTTCCACCGTTCCGAAGTCGGCTCCCTCAGAGCAACCCCTTTCCCTCTAAGCTATATACATGTGGAAAATAAAACACAATTTTTTCCAGCAGAATATTTTTAAAGAAATAACTGCAGAGGTGTTGATTTACCACTGAGAATGTAAACAGTTAGAGTCTGAGACAGTCATTTATATCCTGTCCTCTGCTACATTAATCCAATTCCATTTTAGCTAAGGGCAGCCTGATGTTCATTATCCTTCAAGAAGGTAGGGCTTGCTTGCCAAATATATGCTTTTGCGGTAGTTACTATGCTTCTAAATATTTCTTCATAGATTCCTGTTGCACAGTCCCAGTGTATTTTTTTAAAGAATAATTTTTTTTTTTTTTTACTTTATCATTGGTTTTGAAATCTCTCACTGCAATTTAATGAAGAAGAATAAAAGTAACAGGGTAATACAGTTATGGCAAATGTCTTTGACTACTTCAAATCAAATTTTTTTTTTTTCTCGATTACAGACCAGTAAAGTCAGTGGGTTTTATAAATTAGAACACAAGAAGGCCATCATAGTAAGTGATGGAGTAAGTCCAACTTTTTGCATTCTTGTTTTAAATAGGGATTTTATTACCTGCTCCTGCACAACCCACAGCCTATCTTTTTATCTTTGCCCAAGAGGTCTTGGCTGGCAGTCTCAAATTTTAATTCCATCCCAAAGCAGAGACACACAACTCTTGTGTGTGTGTTTGTGCAGCACACACAACTCAGTTGCCAGGTGTGACACTTCCCGTCTCCTCCGGAGTACAGCCTGGTACAAAACCTGCGGTCCTGGCCACATCCAGAGCTTCGCTGTGCTTGGTGCTGTACAACCAGAGAGGGAAGACCATAAACCTCCAACCTAAGCAACTAGAGCAGACAGGTACCAAAGGGACCAAAGCTTAAAGTGTGAAGTAACAAGTAAGGAGTAAGGGAGAAAGAAAGGTATTCAACATTCGTGCCAGCCAGCCCAGTCTCCTTTCACCAGGCTGCATTGCCTACCTAAAAATGTCATTCAGAAGACTCTCATTAGTACTTTTCTGAGGTCAAAAGGAAAAATATTCACAAAACTATACCACTCAAAGCCCAACCCATCCCTCAAGGGGCTGTGTTCATTACAAAGTCACTCCTAAGAACTAGCATTGCTTAGCTCCTTCATGTACACAGCCCTGGGAAAAAAATATATACTGTTGTTTGGCCTAATAATGACATTGAGATACTCTAAGTACCTGGAGTTATAAATGTTCCCATTTCATGCAGCAAATTCCAATTTCTTCTTTAACTTAACAGAGGTACGAAGCTGGCTGTAACAGGGCAGAGAATACTGATGCTCATACCAGCAGAAAACCATTTTCCCCAACTGATGCTTTTCAGTGATGAGTTATCAAAATATTTCTGTCTGGTTCCCATTATTGTGTGTGTACTAGTTTGGCTTCTTGGGCCCACTTTAACCGTTACTGTTTATCTGTTTCTAATTCTTTCTATAGGTGGTGGTGTTCTCTAAATTTTGTAGCACTTTATGACTAAAGTAGCAAGGAAACATACAGGTACGTAAACAACAGTCTTCATCCTTTCATCCAAAGTGCATCAAGAGGCTAGTCTGTGGAAAGAGCTAATGATCCAGTCAGCACAAGAACATATTACAAATTGGAATTCTAATAGATAATCTCTAGATGCAGATTTATCATGTAATTATACAGTTGGAGAAATGGAATATTTTTGTATGATTGCTTTTTCTGTTGCCGTAGCCTCTTGCAATGATCTCTTTAGCATTTGAATTCCTAGTTGCATTCAACAGACAAGGCTTTGAATGAATGTTACTCGACAGGGTGGTCTTCAATGAGAAAGGCAGGAAGGGGGCAGTAAGGGAAAAAAGTATGCTACAAATAGGTACAAAGGGACTGAAAGCCGTGGGATCTCTCTGCATTCTTTGTTCACATGATGTTGGCAAGTTGTTTTCATGCAGTTCATCGGCTACTGCAATCTGTGTATGATACAGTCCCCCAGCAGTTCAGCA